CCCCAAAACCCCAAAACCCCAAAACCCCAAAACCCCTGAGATATTTTAACCAATTGAAATTACGCTTTGAGAATAAGGAATCAATTAGTAGCCAGTGAATTCTGGATTTAGCTCCCAAGTCCAAAACTCTTCAGTGTTGATGCCATCATACTTTATCTCCAGAAGAGGAATAGGAGTCATTCTATAGCTTTCAAAATCAAGCTGATGAAAAGTCAATATGACATTATCATCTCCAGTACTTGCTGATTCTAAAGTTAGGTTAAAAATTACTAGTCTTAAAGCCTGTATATGATTTCGTTGGATACAGCTTCCACTCGATTCCAATCTGGCACAATCTTCTGTCCAGATTTTCAACACGAAGATCCTGGATTTCCCATTTTTCAACAAGTTCTTCTATCTTGTCATACAAAGCAGTTCTAAAAATTAAGAGAGGTCACTACCTTCTGTAAAGAGGCTGGGATTCTTCATAAAATTTTCCTGTTTTCTCCTTATTTTCATTTTCATAATACACTGAAAGTATTAATCAATAGATTTACCGATGCTGAGGCTCTGGAGGGATGGAATGAATACTTCCTTCCATTCGACCATATGATGGTAATCATTATAACCATAGAAGGAAACCTCTTGCCCTTCATATGAACATTTGGAGTACCACTACATTTTTAACTGAAAAATACCTCAAACTTAGCCTTCAATGATCCATCCTTTGACTTATAAGAACTAAGTGGAGCCACTGCTTTCTTAAAGCTTTCCAAATTATTCACTGGCAACTTAGTAGAGATCTTAATCTACAGCTCAAATCTGACGACCTACTTCATTCAAGGAGCAAAAGGGATCAGGAGGAGCTAGTTTAGTTTCTTCTGGATTCTCTTCAATAGTTTTACTTCCTGATTTCCTCACCTGGCTCTTATCAATCACTGCTTTATTTCAGTCTGATTCCAGCACAGACTAACTTATTAAAACCTGCACTAAAAATAGTATATTTATAATAACTCTCTCCCCAGTATGTTCCTATAAATCACTCCAAACTCTCACTAGTATACCCTATCTGATCTATATCGGGCACTTCTATCTCCACTCCCAGCACCATCTTCTCCATCTCTACCGGTACCACATATTTGGTAGATAGATGGCCGTTGATATGATTATTCCTGTACTGCTCTACTAAGACTCCTTCAGAGATGAGCTTTTCTTTGTGACCTTTGAAGAAGATCTGGATGCTTGTCACTAATTTCTTGCCTGGAATATGAACAGCTAGGGGTTAGGAAGGACCTTACTCAAATCTGAGCCTGGAATGGTCTTTGATAGAGGAATTTTAAGACCGCTGTCCACTATTTTCTGGTCTAATGTTACTAGATATTAGTCTAGAGGGTTACCATCATTCAAGTTGATTTTGTAGCTGGAAGATTGAGTGACTGAATGAGGATTTGGCTCAGAATCATCGGTTTCAGGATTTAAGATGGACCTTGTTTCAGAAGAAAGCTCTAGCTTCACTTCTTTCTCCTTCTGTCTCTTTTCTGCAACTGCTCTCTCTTGACAGATTTTAATAGCCTATAACACCTCCTACCACCCCTTTTCACCACTTACTCTTTGCTTGATCCTGCTATATTCCATCATTAACTCCTTTCCTTCTTCCCCACTAAAACCCCCTTCTACATACCTTGAAATCCCTTTTCCAAGTCTTCCATGACCTATAAGTCTTAAGCTGACGATTACTGCCAGTACTCTTAAAACCTCTGTGGGCATACCCTCTTGAAGAGTACTTTGAAGTAAGACTTCAGAACATTTTTAAGTTAATTTTATACAACCTGAAGGGCAAGAATCGGGGTTTTGGGGTTTTGGGGTTTTGGGG